GCTGAAGGAGAAAGCAGAGACTATAACTATTAAGGGTGATGCACAACCCTTACAGACTGAGCCTGCCAGAGGCCTGAGGGCTTAGCTAGATTTGCACATGTTTAAATAGCAGCTCACTAAAGTGACCATATTCTAATTTCATTAATTTGTTTCTCTCTTACTTTGTGAACACTAAGTCATATAAATGTAAAAAGATTGCTTTAAAGTAGAAATGTGGGTAGTTTTCTGAAACTGTGGAAAAAAAGATTTTATTTAACACATCAGCTAAAACAACAGATGTCCCAGTTCCCCTGAGCCAGGATCTATAGTCTTGAGACATTAACACTTTGATAATGCCTCTTTACCCAGCATTACACTCTCTGCAGGGAAAGCCTCTACAAACTTCTTTCCCCACTGTCTGGTGAGCCCAAACTCCCTCAATTCCCATCTTTCATGGTCTTCACACAAGCAAACCCATTCCAGTGCTGCACACAACCAAAATGCACCTTCTTCAGTTTCCAAGAGAAATGCAAGTGAGGGACTGACTACTCTTCATCTCCTCCTAGCAGAAGAGGCTGATCAGTTAGGTCTTCCATTTACTAACTGAATTTGTTCTAGACTCTGAGGTAAATCTCCAGTGTCTTTCACTCTGCACTGACAACAACAATCCTATACAATGACTGGATTACAATTGTTATTAAACCAGTTTCCTCTGAATCTGTATCCTGTCTTCATTCACACACCCTCTGACAGGGGGTCCCCATATGCCCTCCTGCACTGCACCCAAGTGGATTGCCCATCAGTTCACTGGCAGAGCCAAAGTGCTAATCTATTTTCTGCCAATTCTACAGCTTTTTGTCTTCAAAGGACTGAAAGGCAACAGGAAGCCAGCAGAGAAAACTGTTTCTATAGTCAGGAAGGGCAACAAAAACCCCTTAAGGCCTCCCTGCTTCTACTAACACAAGCACAGCACAATGTATTTTGCAGTGGAGCTGTTAGCATGGAACTTCACAGCAGCTGAAATCCCAAAATATCAAACTTGAGGCAAAAGTGACTACAAGGAAGGAAAACATGAAAGGACTGACTGATAAGGGACACAGCCCAGAAAGGAAAGAAATTATGTTGGAATGAAGAAGTGAGCATGGAGGCAATAATAGAAGACATGGGAAAAAAAAGGTAATAAAAAGAAGGAAAATTCTGCTGTGAAACTATTCCCAACTCTGCAATCCCCTCCCACACACATCACCTTTTGGAGCTCCTTCTCATTTAGTCTGTGCACTGCTCTCATTTTTAATTGCTACAGGTATCTGTACAAGCATTGAGAAAGCAAAAACTCTTAAGGGGACAGCTAAGAGTTGGCAGCTGCATTGGGAGAACATTTTTGGACTCCAAGCAATCTACACTGTTCAAAGTGACACAGTTTTGTATTCTGCAGGCAAAGAAACATCTCCAGTGCTGAGAGGCACATCCTCTTACTCCTCTGCATTTTGTGGACAGATGTTAGTCCAGCTTTTCAGTGTTGACAGGGTGGGAGCAATGTCTTATTTCTTGGCTAGCAAGAAAATGCAGGACTGTTCTTTTCCCCAGTTCCTGCTCCCTACATCTAATAAAAGTGAACAAGCAGACTGGCTTATTGTATTCAAGTTCAATAAGGAAATTAATTTGTTCATTTGGAAATCTGCTGGCAGTTTAAAAGTTAAAATTAATACTTCACTATTATCAGCAGGATAGTGCATCTGTCAGAGTTAGTGCTTCATGTCATCTGGAAGAACTGCTTTATCATTCACACTTTATTCAGCTCTTGAAGGTCATCTTACAGCTAAAAGGGCAATGTTTAAGCTTTTTAAATTCCAAGCCATAGTTGCATAGTGAATTAATAAATAGACACTAGAATAAAGCAGCATAAGCAGATCACACACAAGTCCCTGTACCAACATTCTACAAATTGGCACCTTTTCCTGCAAAAGCCAGGTACAATACCAAACCAGCAGGGCTCTGAATTTGCTACACAGCTGTGAGATTCCTGTTACTTTAGAAAGAAAATAAATACAGACAGCCACGAAGAGAGCCAGAGCTCGTGTCTGCTCCAGGTAAGGAAAGCTCTGCAACCACCAAGAACACTAACGCTGCAATTCCTCCGTGACACCGCTATCAGTCATCAAACTCAAGTAGATGTGAGGGAAAACAAGGTAATCCACTTTCACAAGGCTGAGGAGGGGACAATGCAGGCAACAAGAGGCATTATGAAATGGGAGCAGGAGCCTGCGCACGAAGAAAGAGCCGAGGAAAAGAGTGCAGGGAAAGTCTTCAGATGAAGGGTCAAAACAACAACAGAAAAAGTAACTAAAATGAAAAGCCAAGGAGATGAAGAATGGATTGTCTTTGCTATAAATCACTCCCATCAAACTACTCTTTCTAAACCTACCCAGGCCAAAACATTTTCAGTAGTCTCATTCCATAGTGAATCTGAATTTAAAGCAACAAAAAATGTTAAAACTGCATTTAAATATTTCTCCCTTCAATAAAAATCAGGAAAGGCATTGCTGTTGCAATCACTCAAATAGGAGTTACAATAACAACAGATTTACAGATATGCCCTATCAGGTCACTGAAGTTAGAACCTAATCTTTCTTTTGAAACCTTGACGACCCACATTTAAATATGCAGAGTTATAAACTATTGTTTCAAAGGCTTTCAGAGAAACACTGAAGCAAAAACTGAAAGTGAAAGCATAATGAAGCCATCACGTTTATCCATTTTCCTGAGACAAACAGCAGCCACATAAAGCACTGAGAGCGAGACAACCACCATGCATCAAGTAATTCACATGGAAAAGGATGGGTAAGTGAATCTGTACGACCATTTTTACAGAATGGGAAAAATACAGGAGGGAATCAAGCAGGATTAAAACTCACAGGCTACCACTTCAGGGCAATTACACTTCCCATAGGGAAAATGTGAGTCGAGAGATGGATTATTTCATGTTATTTTTATTTTTTCTAAACAGAGGCCAAGCGGTCAATGCCTCATTTACATTCAACTCGAGCAGGAGGAGAAAAGGTCAAGACCAGATTATTTCTTCAGGCCACTTTTTAATTTTAATCACTGTATGACTAAAAATACTCCTAGGAGAACCTTTCCAGCTTCCTCACAACTTGTCCAAATTTTTTTTATAGACCAGTAAACGTGTGATACAGAACCAGAGAGCACTTCTAATAGATTTTTATCTTCAAAATAGTGTGTGGACAAAGCCGGGATAAAATTACAATGTGAGAAAAACAAAAAAAGGTCAGATTTGAAGGGAGAAGAAAGGGCGAAGGAGAAGAAAAGGCGAAGGAGAAGAAAAGGCGAAGGAGAAGAAAAGGCGAAGGAGAAGAAAAGGCGAAGGAGAAGAAAAGGGATCCCAGCAAAAGAGCAAGCATCAGAAGTTCCCAAAAAGCTCACTCAGAACCAGCACTTCAATGGCGAAACTCATTAGGAACGGCTCGAGTCACAGGCAAAAAAAAAAACGCGGCAATAAACAGGTAAATGACAGAAACCCCCCCCAGCACAAGACTTGAGGGGAATGTTCAGTGTCAGAAGAGGCAGGGCTCACCTGGTTCCCGGTTGATTTCGACCTCGAAGAAGCACTGGGGCCGGTCCTGCACGCCCATGGTCCCGCAGCCCGCTCCTGCCACCTGGACACAAAGAAGAGGCGCCCTGGGGAGCAGCCGGTGCCGCCCCTCGCCCTCCCCACGCCTCTTCCCTCCCCCTCCCACGGG